TTATATTATATATATATTTATACACACACTGTATATATACACACATACATATACACATACCTACACAGTACACAATATACTATATACAGTACATATGTATTCTTTAAAATGCAAGCAGTGTAAGCACCTCAATTTGACCTTCTATCAGCCTCTTGCAGTCGCTGTCCAGTAATGATAGAAAGAATCAGCACAAGCAGCCAGTATTCGTGGACACCTTGTCCATTCTTGGGCCCACCCAATTCACGTCCCTGTAATTGGACAATGAAGAAACAGCACACACCATTCATGTGCGGACAAGAGGCATTCTGATAGAAAGAGAAAGCAGACTGACAGAGAGATGAGCTTATCAATGCAACCACTGGCAACAGCACCATAGATGACACAATCATCTAACACCACATCCCTGATTTTTAAACTGAATGCATACAGTTTGACTAATTACCACATAGTAGCCGTTATGTCAGGATTTTTAAGGTGTAACAAGTACCATATACAACGATCTATTAAAATATATACATTTTTATTATTAAAAAATGTTTTTAATTTATTTAAGTTTTCTTAATTTTCAAGTAATAACGAATAAACATAACATAAATCACATAAAGATATTCAAAGATTGTTAAACAATTATTGAAAAAGGCATGTATGACATAAGAACACTCATGTCCAATAATATAAGAAAAAAAGTAAGGATTGGAATAAAAGTTCATGAAGACAATTAGGCTGGGGAATGTTAAAGACAAATGAGAAAGACAAACTCTGGTTATAGTATTCAAACTTCTTCAAATGTATTATAAACAATTTAAAAAGTCATAAAATCAGTACATAGAAAAATACACCAGCTTAGCAGTTTAGTATACTTCTATCAAGGTTAGATCATCCTTATATCTTTACAGAGTTTCGAAGTCCACAGTATATATTACACTCTATTCAGTCCTATAAATATAGGTGTCCAAGGTGAGAGCTACAAAACCCAAAAAGTCCCCCGCACACCTGCCACCTAGCCTGCAACAAAACAAAATACCTGTCTAACAGTATGGGTGAAAAGCAGAGGATTTAGTTGCACAAACCTTTGGCCAAAAAATATGTAGAAGCCACACTGCCCCGTCAAGGCACCTCTGTAAAGTGTGGTCCTAACTCTATTTATATGAGTCTCCAAGTGGGAGCATATTAATGCAGTCAATAAATGAAATGCAGGTGTACCAGGAGGTAGCCTACTCCTCCTCAAGGTGCAGGCATGCACTGGAGACCCAGCAACCAAAAATGCATGCTGGGAACGAAGGAACAGAAAGTGTGTTATTTGCAGGATCTTTAGTTGAAAATAATAAGAGGAAAGTCTGAAAAAAAAGAAAACCAATGCAGCCCAAGGGCTGGTGAACTGCAATATACTACGTTTTAGTTTTTGGGTTTAGATGTGCGTTAATATATTTCAACAGACTCAGATCTTAATAGCGTGTTACATAACCCCCCAAATTCCACTTTTTATTGAAACGAGACTATTTTCCTGTTTGCTTCTTCCTCTAGACATTTATCGGCTTGGACCAACATCAGTGAAGGCAGTAAAGGAAGGAGATGTTCACCTAAATTATGATGGTCGTTTTGTATTGGTCGAGGTGAATGCAGACAAGAACTCCTGGATCCGCCATGATGAAGGAGAATCTTTTGAGAGAATTCAGACTGACAGTAGCGCCGTTGGAAAAAGTACCAGCACAAAGGCTGTTGGCTCTAGTGCTCGCATCGATATTACTTCCAGCTACAAATATGAAGAAGGTAAGATCATGTTGTGTAGTATTCCAACGCATTTAAAGGAGAACTATGACATGAGTGATTTCCACTCACCTCATAGTTCTAAGCCGACCTGTGACAATGAGACTGTCACAGGTCGGCTCAGTAGATCGGGAGGTGAGAGAACACATACCGGGTTCCCTCACCTCTCGATCCTGTCACGGCTCTCTCCCCAAGCAGAACTATGGGGAAAAACACTGACCCCATAGTTCTCCTTTAAATCATAAGGGGTGCTGCCAGCTTTTGGTCACTCTCTTCTCACCATAGTATGTAGCTGACATCCTATTTAATGACTGGAGTAACTCTTTGTCCAGTCAAGAGAATGGAGGCGGGTTGCTGGGTGGAGGTGGACTTCTGTAGTGGCTGTCATGAAAACGAGAACTTTTCTGATGGTCACATCTGCGACTAGGCCCACTAAGTGGAGTTCCTCTCTGCTAGAAGGAACACAGAGCAAGGACTTTGTGATGAAAGACCTTATCAAGCAAAGTGATCAGATTTTTTCTGGTTTCTTGAGATGATAAAAAGACTCTTGGTATCTGTCCTTTTTAAATCTACAACTGGCTGGACTAACTAGGTGCACAGTCAGGTAGAGGGTCGGCTTGCCCACTCTACATGTAGCTCTGCTTGCCCAAAGCAGGGCTAAATGTAGAAAACAACTACTCACCCAGCGCCTGGAACTGCATGTCCATATCTGGGAAGGTGTCGGAGCATTTGGACGAGTATGAGTACTCGCCCATATACTCTGTATCGACACCGATACTAGTATCGGTAACGGTGCATCCCTAATATACTGGGTTTCAATTTACACTGGTTTCTATTTACAACCGTTCCCTCAGGAGTGTAAGTTGAGGGCTACCTGTACCTGGCAGTTTTTATGGGGTTTTTTAGGTAAATATTAATTAAAGATGCTGCATTGTATATATTATATGCTATTTTTATTTGTTTTAGCAATATCCCCCATTGCCTACCTACAGACCACTTTAACCCCAGCCCCAATAAATAAATATAATTATATTTGCTTCATTTTTGTATCCTGCGCACATTTACACTTTTGCTGTTTGCCATGGGTGGTCCAAAGACTATGAAAACAGAACCAGAAGGTCACTGGAATGAGCTATAGACATGCTTCTATAATTTAAAGCATATACATCCTCCAGAGAAAGTCCCCTCAATATATAAAGCCTCAGAGATAGCGCCCACAAAACATATGATGTAAAAAACTGCAGAAAGCATTTAATTATACTGATAAATTTGTGATTACAGAAAAAGAAATTCCATTCAAGATTCCTTACAGCAAATACATAAATAGTCTCCTGGATGACAATGTGATAGAGGTGACAGCTCTGTGTAAGTGGGATGAGACAGAGAAACTGCTAATATCCCAAGTTATTACATTAAAAAATCCACCAATCAACATTAAGGTAAGTTAAATCATTGCTGTTAATACCCAGACATAAAACCTTATTATTTTTTTGATGTAATCTTTATTATTTGATTTTTTAACATACAGAAAACAGGAAATGGGTAGAATACCAGGTGAAGCACCATACAAATTCCAGTAGGCATAAACAAAAACTTGTATCGTTTTACAGAGATATACAGATAAAGACAATACATGACAAATACAAAAAACAAAACCGACAGAAAGAAAATAGGACGAGAAACCAGATATACGACCTCCAAATAAGACAATCATCATTAGGCTTTACCAAGGAAATATCCTTTGAGGCTCATTCATACCTGCTGGCTTTGGTGCGCTGTGTTAATGCACATAATGTGTGTTAAAATGTGTTGCATTAAGGCAGCCCATTCATTTTAAATGATAAATATATTTTAGAGGTGCTGGGAGACATCTCTTGCTATCCTTTATGATACATCCAACTTAATCAGAGTCTGGAGGTAGCTCATCAGCCTAAAGTTAGGCAGGTCATGGGAGATACTGGAAGCAACTCAGAGATTAGACAGAGAAGGAGAGTTCCAGACCAAATCAAAATGTCAAAATCAATAAAGCGTTTAATGATTATTTTGATTAGAACAGCCAGCGCGCTTAGGGAGCAGACACGACCCTCTTTCTTCAGGGCTTAAAGCAATGGAAATTAAGGATTACACTCTGGGCAATAACTCAAAAATGTAATCTTATTAGGAAATGAGTCATTTCTCAAATTGATAGGCGCTCTCCTTTTCTGTCCAATCTTATACAATTTGAATAGGCTTGAGCGGACAGAAAAACAAACCTGAACTTTTTTTGACCCAGCACACTGCTATACATGTTGAGGGGGTACATCAGGATGCCATTCAAACAAATGACACCACAGTGCACTATGCATAGGTGCAAAACCAGCCTAAATGTTACAGCTGATCTCTCACACTGGGCAGTTGTTCAGTTGTTCATTCATAGTCCTTTCATTTCAAAAAAGTAATTACCGCACAAACAGTGTAGTAAAAAAAGGTTCCGAAATGGGTGCAGTGGCTTAACAATAGCCATAGCAGCCTATGTGACTACTATGGGGCCTGTTGTAGGAGGGGGCCTGATTAGGAGGCAGTTAAGGGAAACTAAACTGTGAAGTTTCCAGTATAGAAGGGGTGAAGTCAAACCTCCAGATTCTTGCTGATCACAGATCCCACACAAAATTTTCCAAGTATGGAAAAAGTTAACCCTTGCAGTGGAGCTACGCACTGTTCTGCAAGAGTTACTCCTTGCTCGTTTTTCTCTGAAGGCCGGAATAAAGAAGATATGCTCACTTGATTCACGATCCTGCAGTGGTAAATGCTCACCTCTTTGCCCCTCAGCTCTGGCTGTGGTAAGTCCCTTGCAGTCCTTATGTCTAATGCAAGTCAATGGACTTTATTAGACGTGATGACATCAGCAGGACTTAGACTGCCAGAGCCCATTAGAGAAGAGGCTGTGGGGACTTGTCTAGCAAACACCCTTTTCTTCAGGGTTAAAGACATACAACACGCTTTGTAGTAAAAAAAAAACACACCCCCTTCTTCAGGGCTAAAGACATACACCATGTTTCAGAGGGCAAAATGGATCCCCTTCTTCAGGGCTATAGATATACAATAAAGGAAACCAAAATGTTTCAGGGGTACAACACACCTTTCTGTTTAACCTCTAAAGAAGGGGTGCACTTTTACTGCAGAATGCTGTTGGCTCCTGGATTTTTGCCTCATCATTCTTCGAGTAGTCTTCTGCACCTACATTGAAATGTAACAGTATGAACAGGCTTGGCCCACCACACGTGTATCAATAGGGCTCTTCTGTGACATGGAAGGGTAGCAGAGCATATACATGATGTTGTGCTGTCACATATAAAGAAAAAGCAAGTTCATAGCAAGTGAAATTATGTAGTAATTAGCGAGGGGACAATTCCATTACAGGTAATAGTTGCTGCGTCTTGGTGATGTGTCGTCAGTGGCAGAATCACTATATGCACACACATGACACAACCTGCATTTTTGGCTAGAAAACAGCTTAAAACCCCCGAAACAATGATATATTTTCTGAAAGCAGAGGCCCTGTAGATTAAAAAATGCTAGTTGCATTTATTTATGTCACTCTGTATTTCCTCAAATGTTTATCAAACCAGTATTTTTAGGATAAAATACACTAGAATGAAATTTAGTGCACAGAAACAGAATATAATAAACAAGTTTTTGGTAAAATATAAAAGATGGGGTCACTTCGGGTAAATGGACACCAAACATGTCATGCTTTAAAATTGCAATCGCCTGTGATGCCGCAAAAAACCTTAATACCCATTCAATACCCAAAATTTCCCATGGGGACAGTTTAAAAACTTTTACAGCTTATCAGTTTAGTGCCAACAGTGATTAATGGCTCTAGAATTATTGCTCTCACTCTGTCGTTTGCGGCGATATGTAACATGTGTAGCACAAATAATTCAGTTTTTGCACATAGGTGCACCGATGCGTGTTTTCGTATGTATGTGCGTGCATGTGGGGGGCAGGGGACTCTAAAAACATTTTTTATTTTTAAAACTTTTTTTTTTTTCATACTAACTTTATTGCTATCACCTAGGGGGCTAAAAATCCCCCTATGTAACAACAGATAGGGTGTGACAGGGCCTCTTTATGGAGACATCAGGGGTCTTTCAGACCCCTAATGTCACCTAGGGACCCCAAAGAAGCTGAGAAACTAGAGATCTGCTTCCCCAGCTTCTTCTCCTGGCTCTAAGAGCTGGAGAATATACACAGTGACACCAGAAGTGATGTCACCGATCTTTGCCGGGAGACCGGCCGTGCCAGTCCTGAGCCCGCACGGGGGACAGCGGAGCGGCAGAGGGGGGTGGTGGCAGCACATTCTGCTGATCGATACAAACAATCCGGCACTTGCATAGATGCCAGATCACTTGTATCTTAACAGCCATCGCCGGCTGTTTAAAATGATATCAAGAACACGGCTGCAGCAGTAGCTGTGTTCTTGGTATAACCACTACTGCGGCCTGACGTATATTTACGTATTGCGGTCCGGAAGTGGTTAAAAGTCTTAGCTTCCTGCAGAATCAGGTGGTCTCCTGAGCACTGGTCCTGGTATCCTGTTTTAGGGTGGCTCCTTTCCCTTGCAGGGTCTTATGGAGCCGCCCTTGTGTGTGCCAGTGAGCTGTGTGTGTTTCCACAAATACACAGGCACAACAAGGCAAGCCACTCCCCTGCTCCTACTTCCTCCTGCCTCCCTTCTCCAAGCAAGTAGATGGGCAGCTGTTGGAGACTACTCTGTTCCTTGTGATGTTGGACAGGAAGTTCAGGGAAACTGAGAAGACAGTGCTGAAAACAGCTATTTGGAAACATGCTCACTGTAAGTGTTTGGGCAAAAATCTAAACAAATACTTTGCTGAGAAAAGTATATTTATTTCATCTGGATTCATTATTAAAAAAAAGCTTGAGAGTTTAATACTACTTTAAGAGATGCCATGCGGCCATTGTCAAAGGGCTTTTAGACAGGTAGTGGCTGCAGGAGATCAGTTTACAAAAAGAAGTCGGGTGTTCAGTAGTCCAATGTATGTAGAGCTGCATTTAACAGCCAGGATCTCGATGTAAAAAAAGTTTATTATCAGGAATCTAAAATGTTACAAGCATAACAAGATCCACGGGCTCTGACATGTTTCACCAAAAAGGCTTCATCATAGAGACGCTAATCATCATATCTCTATAATTAGGAGTTTTTGGTGAAACATGTGGATCTTGTTATGCTTGTAACATTTTAGAGTCCTGGGAATAAACTTTTTTTACATCAAGGTCCTGCCTGCTGAGTGCGGCTCTACATACATTGGATTATCCGGTTATAGCCATTTTTTTTTCTTTTTAGATAGCGTAAGGTTAAAAATGTTGTCAGTTTTTTGCCATCTGGGAGATTTTCCTTAATTTCCTGTCCTGTAGAATTAACAGGAAACGAGAGGCTATCTTGCCAAGGTGACAGAAGTCCTCAATAGTCATCATGGGAATAAAGGGAATAAAAACACCACATCTTAAATTGGACCTCAGCTTAAAATGTGAAAGCTTGCTATCTCATAGAAAACATCTAGCAATGTTATTTATGCCTAAAATATTACATTTATTTTTGATTACTTTGTGAAAAATAGCGGTGGACTTCCTGTCCCTCTGAACTCCTAAACATTGAGTCTCATATCTGTATATCTTGCACTGTGATATCATCTTTGGCAGTAGTTTTCAACCAGATGCCATATGGCCATATATTTTAAGGGTGCCACAGGTAAAGCAAAATGTAACAGGGGGGCCATGGCACAAAGTTTCAAGTTACATAATGAGCCATTCTGAAATATTTTCTTGCTTTTGACTTGCATTATTATCAGAAATTTTGTCTGTTAAAATAACTGTTATATGACAAAAGAGTAAACATTCAAAAAGGTAAAAAAAAAAATATGTTCTACATCAATAGCGAGTGATAATGAGTCCAGGAACAGGTTGAAGATGGAGCAATAGAAGCAGTTACCCTCTGTACCCCCACCATCTAGTGACCTCCATCAGTGTCGGACATAGCCACCAAAGAACCCCGTGTCAAAATTTCAGATCCCTATGAGCCATCCAGCTGTGCTGCAGCCTGCGGGGTGCAGAGTTCTCTCTGCCCACCGGGTTATCCTAAAAACCTCAGAGACTGAAAGTCATAAGAGCTAATAAACTTGCTGCCCACTGACCAACCAAAGCATATCTTTTTGCACTGCAGGAAGATCAAATCACTACCTGGCGGTCTAACTAAGCTCTAGTATTGAACCTACTCACCAATGTACAGTAGCTCAATAACTTCACAACAGAATCACTACAAGAACACCTTGCGGAGTTGCAGCTAAGTTGTCACTTGTAGTTCTACAACTACATGCAGACATCTTACCCCTGATTCTGCAGGCATGCAGGGCTGTGCTGTTGCTTGTAGCCCTCCAAG